GTTGAAATATATTTTTATGATAAAATGACAACTATATATATTGCTTATTAAGTGCTAGGCATTGTTTTCATGTCTTCTACATATTAATTCATTAGAACTATCCCTATGAGATTTATTATGGTTTTTATTTTTGCAAATGAAGAACTTCAGAGTTATTAACTTACTTTCTCATGACCACTTAGGTGACTAAGCATAGATATATTTACTATTCTGTACCATCTTAAGGGAAAGCATATAGTCATGTGTAAGGCTTTGTATTTATAGCACTATTTCCTTTGTTTCACTACCTTTTATACTAACATCCATAGATTGCTTTGCATATCAAATTAGCTATTTTAATGTAATCTGATATAAAATTCTGTGTGCATGCATACATGTATTTTTATTATATGTTTAAATGGATGGTATAACTCCATTTATGCATTTAGAGATGCTTAGAAAGATATATTTCAAGATGTTGAGAAATAGTTGTCTCTGGGTAGTTTGGATATATGTGCATGTATGTTTTTCACACTTACATACACTTCTGAAATAATTATGTTATTATATTGAATATAGCTATATTCACTTTGAATACCAAACAAAACCAACTGTCTGCAACTGAATTTTTAAATTTCTTCTATCACATTGATCTCATGTTCCTAATCCACGTCATGTGTGGATTCTTATTTTACCAAGGATATATGTTTTTTTCTTTGTACTATGTTGAATCTTTTAAACTATAGCAATATGAGTTTTTAGTCTGAGAATATCTTACTTTTTGTTGATGTTGATGTTAAATTTATGAGGAGTTGGAGTTTTTTCTTTCTTTTTTTTTTCTGGTACTGGGACTCGAACTCACGAACTCGCGCTTGCTAGGCAGGCGCTGTGCTGCTGAGCTAAATCCCCGGCCCCTGGAGTTTTTTCTTGCCCACAGTGTAGATGGTCTAATGTGAGTCAGCAAACTGTGGTCTGTGGCCCTGTGGCTGTTCGTTATATACAGCACTGTCTACCTGAGATAGTTCGTATAGATGAATTTTGCCATGAAATAACACTAACTTTGAACTTCAGTTGTGCAAAATATCATCCTCTCAAAATGAATGTCATTCTTCTCAGCAGAAGGTTTATGTTATAAAAATTTTATAGTGAATTCACTATATTTTTGAATCTTAATCAGTAAAATTTTTCATATGGTTTTTTCTCTTTTCATTATAAGGGCCTTCATATAATACCTTTCGTTTTGCTGTCTTGCCTGCAGAGTGTAAGATTTTACTGTCTGACTGTTTATAGAAAAAGTTTACCAACCTCAGTTCCAGTTTGCCAGTCCCAGTCCTTAAACCCGTAGTGGTGCGGTGCCCACAGACATCCTCTGCTTCCGTTCAGTCGTGTAGTCCCATTTGGGGGTGTGGCCTCCTGGGAGCACAGACACGGTGTCCTTCACTACCCAAAACTGCTTGGCTCCTGAGTTACAAAGTACATCGTGTTTTAAAAAAATAGGTATAGAAATCTATTTTTTTGCTAATTTTGAGAGCAGGATTTTGGATAGTGAGAGGAGCATATAGTAGTTTATCTGCTGTTTATCACAAGTGCCTAATCTGTACAGGGTAAATGTTACTTGCCATTATATTTACTGCTGCTGTGCCACTGTGCGAGCTACTCCCATAGAGCTTTCCTGTTTTTTAATGAGAAAATGTTAGTTAGGAATACCATGGCTTATAACAGGATGTGAGAAACCAACCCGGCTCACTTATATATGCGTTGTCATTCTGTGGGTAGGTGACTTGTTATCGTCTGGAATGTTATTTAGAGGATTTAGTTTCTCTAGTTCACCTGACAGCTACTGGTATCTTTAGCACCCTTCTCTGCCATTCATGTATGCTGACATGTCTGCAAGGTCATGCGGCAGAATCACTTCTCTAATAGCAGTTTTCTAAGTAGCATTAGGCGGAATTCTGTCTTCCCGCCTTGATACTGGTTGTTAATGCACCTCACATCACACGTAGTCTTAAAATGAAAGAAGGAAACGCCTTTTCATTGATATAAATGTTTTAGAAAAAGATTTTGGAAAACAATGTGGATGGGTTATAAGTTACTAAATAAGCCTAATGTTTTTCTTTATAAATATGATTCTCTTAGGTGGAAGTGCTTTGATATTATGATGTTAAAATTTTCTGTTACTGTGTATCTCTTTTCTAGCTCCTACTGCTCATACTTACCTTTCCTTTGCACCCCTCTCTCTTTACTACCACTTTCACTCTTTTTTAAACTAGGATCTTTCATCCAGTTAGAAAAGTCAGTTAAGTTGAAAATTGTTATAAGCAAACTGCAGCGGTTAAAGCAATGTGGAACATTTTATCTTAAACGCTAGAATTTCCGGGAGTTAAATTTGTCAGCTTTCCTGTAGCCTTTCATTTTAACATTAACACATCATTTTGATATGTGACAGTAATCTAGAAGAGTAGGCATGTGGCTGAACTTTTGGTTTATCCATGCATTGGGAATGTTTTTGTAGCAGTAGACTTAATAGTGAAGTTATCTTGTCTTGCTACATAAGGTAAATTTTTTTCAAGAGGTTTCAGACTCCTTTCCAAATTTGTATTTTGATGAATACTTACAGCTTTTGTTAGTAGTAAATATCTGAGATATTATTTTAGATTTTTAAAAAATTATTTTAGATTTTAATCTTGTTTAGACTTATTTGAAGATCTGATATATTGAGACAAAAAAAAAAAAACAAAACAACAAAAAAACTGGATATGGTGGTGCATGCTTGTAATCCCAGAACTTGGGAGGCTGAGGCAGAGGATCATTGTGAGTTTGAGACCAGCGTGGATTATAAAGTGGGAGCAAGGCCAGCCTGAACTGCATAGCGAGACCCTGTCTCAAAAAGACGACAAAAAAAAAAAAAAATCTGATATATTGGAATGTTCTTCTCTATCTGCTTGAGTAATTTTACTTAATTCATGTTGTTATAATGACAGTTAATACTGCTCACACTCATGTATATACACATAGATACATAATTTTTATGTTAAATTCCACTCTCAGATATCCTTATACTACTGTGATCTTCCTTGTCTTGATTCCCCTTTGCCCCTGCCTCTACCCCCTTTTTTGTTTGTAAAGCAGTATTTGACAGTTGTGTTTCCTAAATTAACAGAAGTCAATTTAGGAAATCTTCTAAAGTACTTGCTGTGGCCTTCCTTCTAGAAGCTGTGGGTGCAATACATAGAGCAGAGGCTGATGGGTATAGTTGGTGGGGGGTGCGTGCTAACGATGCATGAGATGCTGGGCTGGGTCCCAGTACCCAACCTTAGAGCAGTGACAAATTTTACTTGACTTTCATTTTGTGAAAAAAGTAAATGGAGATATTTTTGCTCAAGTTTTTACCTTTAGACTGATAGTAAGGTAGAGGTAGTAAATTAAACTTGTTACTTCAAATACCAAGGAATGTAGTTCAGTGTATAAATCTAAAACTAATTAGTGAGTAATTTTCCGTAGATTAGGTCTGTGAGCAGCCAGTTGCTTTTGTAAAGTCTCCCTGACCTCGTGATTTGACTGTATCATTCATTTTATGTATTCTGTTTGTAGTGGCAGTACAAGGGCAGAGTTGCACGGGCACAATAGACAATAGAGAGTATATCATGCAAAGTCCAGTGGCACCTGATGGCAAAAGTTTGCTAAACTGCGGAAATGTGAATATTATCTTTGGTGGTTGTTTTGGCGGGTATGTTTAGAGTGTTTTAATACCTTCTTTCTTCCGCATACCATCGCTTTTCAGGGTGTTTATCTCTAAATATTTAAGTAAATTCCTACCTAACTTTGCTACAGCTACCCACATTGCTTGCACCATTCTACTCCTCTGCATTTTACTTGTAGAATCATTTTTCCAAAGTTGAAATCACATTCCACTATTTCTTAAATAAAACCCAAACACTGCTGGCTTTTTGCTGATTTTTTGGAGCTTCTGACATCCTAAAGAACTTACCATTTCTACTTAGTATTTGTATGTAAAATGGAATATCTAAGTAGACCCAAATGAGAGTGGCTTTCTCCTTTTAAGTAAGAGTATAATACCTAAAACCAAATTCCAGGCTGCGCGTAGAGGCACATCTCTGAAATAGCATCAACCCTGGAGGCCGCGGCAAGAGAGTCACAAGATCATGGCCAGGCAGTGCACTCCCTGAGACTGTGTCTCACAGTGAAAGCAAAACAGAACAAAACTACAAATAAATAAAAAACCACAGGCCGAATTCCTCAGTTCAGGGGTATTCTAAGAATGTTTTTTGTATAGTTATTCTTTATGTTCTAAGTCACTATCTCCCAGTGAAGCAGTCAATTATTTTCCTTCCTTTTTGTTGCCTCTGTGCCTATACACTTCAAAGTTATTTCACCTCCTATATATTACCTTGTAAAAAATTTCTTATGCATCTTAGCATCCTATTGGGCTGCAGTTACATGGATTTCTATTTTTTGTTTGTTTGTTTTTTTCTCCAGTACCGGGAATTGAACTCACGACCTTGCACTTGCCAGGCAGGTGCTGTGCCGCTGAACTAAATCCCCAGCCCCTGGGTTTCTTTTTTATTTTTTTATTCCTAGTGTTTTGCATGGTGTGTAACTAGCATTTGAGTAAATGATTGTGTTAATAATTTTCTCTGTGTTACATAACTTTAAAATTTTTATCATTCTATGCTTATTAGAATGTCTTCTAGGAAAATAAGCCTGACCCATAATTGTTGTTACAACTCTATAAGGAATCAGATGCCTAGATCCTGTTTTCTAACCTTCCTCTCCCAAGGAATAGAACTACCCTCTCTAAATTTTGTACATCCCTAATGTGGCGTTTTGATCAATATTCCTTGTGAAACTCTTACCTGTAAAACAAAATTTTTTATTTATTAACGTATTGGTAGGTACATTTCAGAATGAGACCATCATTTCTATTCTTATTTGGTAATATGTGATACTCTTAGCAAAATCCACATAATTTCAGCTATTTTTGTATCTTATCTCATCTCTAGGTTCAGGACATCTGCTTCAGCCATGACTGTCGCTGGGTTGTGGTCAGTACCCTCCGGGGTACCTCCCATGTTTTCCCCATCAACCCTTATGGTGGCCAGCCTTGTGTTCGCACTCATATGTCACCACGAGTAGTGAATCGCATGAGCCGTTTCCAGAAAAGTGCTGGGCTGGAAGAGATTGAACAAGAGCTGACGTCTAAGCAAGGAGGTCGCTGTAGCCCTGTTCCAGGTCTATCCAGCAGCCCTTCTGGCTCACCCCTGCATGGTAAATGTAATTTCTGTCTCTCCACTGCTCCCTTCCATCTTCCTTGACTGTGTTTTTAATTTTAGGGAGCTGAGGTCAAATAAAAATTTTGTAATCTGTTTGTAGAATAACAGGATCTTAAACTCATTTAAAACATTCTTATTTATTAAATCATTAATGAATTTGAGCCAGTATAGCAATGAAGATCTTTATCATGCCCCCTAACTAGGGATATAAGGAGCATTTGTCATCATGCTTATATAATTTGAACCTACTTTCTTAACTTTAGAGCGCTGATCTGCATTTCCACATGTCCCTTCCAGAACATTCTGTCTGTAATGGGCCAGTACTATACTTCATTAAGAAATATTTGTTGTTGCAAAAGAATAGTCAGTCATTAGTCATTTTCATAAGTGTTCTATATGGTAGAACATTAATTTAGTCAGTACAGAAGACCATTTTAAGTATCTCTGACCTGCTTTGTTTTTTGAGGCAGTGTTTAAAATTCCTTACTTACTCCTTTGTGCAGATCTGCTTCTATTCACTTATCCTTTCTAATATTTTTCATGTATATTTGTATGCTTTTTGGCTCGGAGTTTTTCTAATAATGCAGTGAAAATTTTCTACTGTTTCTTGGTAGAAATATATACTTAGTTTTGAGTGGAAATTCTGAGTCATTACATTTGTTAATCTTAACCTTTGTAAGTAACACCAGAGTGTTTATACCATGTCATTCCTATCAGAATGCCTTAAAATGTGAGCACTGGATTATTCCTTTTTCTGAGTGTTGCCTATTCTTCTTGATGATAACCATGGTAGGTGGGTTTTGAAGGTTGAGGTATTGTGCCAGGCATTGTGGTACACACTTGTAATTCCAGTTGTTTAGGTGGCTAAGGTAGGGGGATGTCAAGTTCAAGACTAGCCTGGCTGATTTATTGAGTCTTTTTCTTAGAACATAAAGAGAGACACTGATAAGGAGGATTTATAGTCTTTCCATTTGTGTATCATCGGAGAATATTCTCTTACCTTTTTTTCCTCCCATCGTTCCTTTTTCATTAAGCAAACCACATAACAGCTTTTGTCCTAGGTTTTGGGCATGATGTACACCAAAAATTAAAAGCATTCCTGCCTTCATAATTCTTTTACTCAAAGAGAAAGACAGACATTGAATGACCATACACAAATACCATTCAGTATATTTTGGTGAAGGTTGCAAAGTACTAACCAGTGAAGGCGTGTATCATTTGCAAAAGTTGAAGAATAATGCTAGATTTCTAAATTAAAGTATAATCTTTTCCTCCAGCTTTATTGATTTCATTGCTTTCATAATTTTATAGAAATTTGAAAAAGGAGATTCCACACTCTTTGACAATACCTAAAATTTTGTTTTATAAGGCAGGAATTTCAGGAGACAGTTCTCTCCAATAACACATGTGCTGAAATGTTACTCTCTCAGAATTTCACCATCATGTGTGTAGATTTTCTCATTTTGGAAGCACAGACAATAGAGAGATGGTCATTTTTCTTTGTTTTCTTTTTTGTGTCTTACATGTCAAAACAAAGCAGGCGTTGTTGTTGGTTAGTTCTAAAAATGACATATTTACAAGTTTGTGTGAGTAAACAGTCTGATGCTGGTAAAAAAAAACATAACCCTTTGAACAGGGAGGGAGTCATCTTGAAAATTAATCATGTTTTGGCGGTAATACTGTTGTTGTCTGTGCTCTTTTTAGCAAAGTAAAGGAAACTGTTAAATAACAATTGACATAGGGGTATTTCCTTTTTACTTTTTGGAGGCAATCCAGTTTAGGTTAGGATTATTTTATCTAGTTGCCTTTTTTCCAGAGGATGTTTATTTATTTGAAATATATTCTTTCTAAATATCTCTTTCATTTCCTAGCTTGTTTCCATGACCTTAGTGTAGATGAGGAGTTCTTAAATTGAAACTCATGTACAGGGATAGGGAAAAAAAAATTCAATGCGTATATCCACTACCCTTAACCAAAAGTAAGCATTACTTCTCATTATGAGTATAGAAAACAGATGCTAATGATATTAGTGTACTTGTAATGTTGTTACCAATAGAAAGCACAGATGTTTTCACATCACACTAAATATGTAATAATGTCCTGAATTATTGAATATTTCTTCAGATATTGTTTCTGCCCATCATTGCCTTGAAATTATTACATATGATTGTGATATTAAATCAAATTCTTATGTATATCAGTATACTACATTTTAGCTATTTTAGTATGATCATTTCCATTTTAATTATGCACATTATATTGGATACATTTATAAATGTTACTCAGAATTCAGAAACTTTCCTGTCCAAGTAGCCTGTGATGCAACAATGATTATGAATCTCTGATCACAAACTAAGCATTTTTCCTACCTATCACAAATCCTTCCTTTGTTAACCATAGGATTCGCTAGTTTTGTATTTAAAATCATTGTGTCTCGCTGCTGGAATGTTAGAGAATGTCCCATCCTATTTCCATCTGCTTTTTCCAGTGTACCTAGATTTCCGTACCTTTCTGTGAATATGCCACATATATTCCTTTTTTTCTTTCCTGTATGCACATTGTTCTTGAAGTAATTTTTGCTCTTTTGAATGCCTACTTAGTTAGCTAAAATACCTCTTAATCCCTTAAGTCATCTCTTGGTGTTGTACAATGTGTAAACCAGGGTACTGGTATCCTGTACATACTTCTCTCTTACGGAAATGTGGGAATTATTCATGTCTGTCCTTCTTATTATATTGACCTCCATAATGACAAAAGCTTTTCTTTTATATTTGTCTTGGCACCTTACATACTAGTTGGCAAAATGTTGATTCTAAGGGTTTAACCATCTTTAGATGTTGTTTTAAGAAAAGCAAGTGGGATTTAAATCATTACTTGCCAGAATGAAGAAATTGTCATTCATGTTGATCCCGCTTTTCAGTTTCATGTATGTAAGATAAGGTCATTTGTTCAGCAACTGCGAATGACTGTTTGTTATGTGTAGGCACTGTGGAGCTCTAGGAATGGAACAGAAGTGAATAAAAGTGGGACCTGTCCTGTTCCTGTGTAGCTGTGGAGAAAAGGAAAGAGTGAAAGTGGAGTGGGAAATGCCTACAGGGATGGCTATCTGAGATTCATGTCCTTTTGTAGGCCTTGCTGAAATGATGGCATTTTGGGACAAACAGAAGTGAGGGAGAAAACGATGCAGATGCCAGGAGGTGGTGGGAATATGCTGGGAGTTTTTAAAAAATGAAGGCAAAGAGGCTGACAGCTGTGCAGGATGCGTAACAGGTCATGAGCTCAGAGGGGGAATGTGGCCAGGTCATGTCCGCTTCTGACTTAGTGAGAAGGGAAGGCTGTGGAGGGTTTGGACGATAAGCGTGAAGTGGTGATACTTTTTTTATTTTTTTACATAATTCAAGTGGAAATCTGTGTGCAGAGCGCAGGGTCTCTAAATGGACAAAGGTAGAAATCTAGTGAAACCATTTAGTAGCGTGCTGGAAAAGTCCAGACAAGAAAGGGTAGGTTTGGTCGTTCATAGTGAGTCTGTCCGAAGTTACTGGATTCTTGATTTCTTTTTTATGGTAGGACCACCAGTGTTTCTGGTTTATTTTATGATCAAGTATGAAAGAACAGATGAGTCAGGGTGAGTAGTAAGGCTTTGTGCCCGAGTAGCTGGAAGAGAGGGGCTGCTGTCGGCTGAAATAAGCAGTGTGTGGGTAGCGCAGATTTGTGGATGGGGACAGGATGGTTAGTTTGTGACAAGTTTGGGCGGGGGGGGGATGGGGGAGATGGGAATAATGAATGTGTTAAATTGCATTTATAGGTCAATGAAAGCAAGAAGTAAGAGGAAGACAGCATTAAATTTTTCACATAGTAGGACTTTTGTTATAACTTTTTTTGGAGTAGTAGAGGCATCACTTGAGGGGATTTTAGTAAGAAGAGGAACTGGCAATATCATTTTTTTTTAGCATTTAGACGAGGTATTCGTTTCCCCCTTCTGTTTATAGCGTTCATTTGGTGGTTTATTGTAATTATTTGTTTTTGTTGATCAAGAGTTTTCTAGATATAGACCGCATCATAATTGTAAATACAAAGCAACCACACGCTGCAGCCTTCTATGATTTCACCTACTTAAGAGAATCAGTAATAATGTGATGTTTCTTGACTTCTCTTTTCACATCATTGTTTACGTGTGGACTGAAGTTTGCATGAGTGTGTTTTAATTTTTGCCAAGGAAAATCAATCATGTGCACTGTAGCTCTGCTTTAAATTTTATGCCTCATATGACATAGAATATATAAATAGTATATACATGTTAAATGGGGGAAAATCTTTTAGGATAGTTTAGTACCTAGATTTTTGCTGATTCTATGGATTTTATTGTCTTAGCTCAGATGCAGTCTTGTTTCCAGTCTGTTGTTTTAAAATATAACATTTTCTTGGTGAATTTGTTTTCTTCTTAGCCCTCCTGTTATCCTTTTAGAAGGTTTGACATTTAGTATACACCAAAATCATATGTATTTTAAATACTTTTCATGACATTTGCTGTAGTTTCTCAGATAGCAGAAAAGTTCTTCACGGAAAGTGTAAGGAAAAGAGTGGCCTTCCTCAAAATAAGACACATGTATTTTTTAGGAATCACTAACTGGAGAAAGTATTTTAAAAGGTAGTATAACTGTTGTCTTCAAATAGATATTAATTTTTAGAAAAGCTTTGGTTTCATAGCAAAATTAAGAGGAGAGTACAGGTACCATTATTTCGGGAGAAAATCCGATAACCTGTGGAAAACCTTTCAAAACTCCAGATGTTATAATAGCTATAAATTATACTTTAAAATTACAGTATTCTAAAGTATACTTTTAAACTTAGTTCTACACATGCTATTAAACTATTAAATTATTTATTTTTTGTGTTTATTTGGTTTTAGGAATGCCATATTTTTTCTCTGTAAGTTTGACTTTAAAAGAAATGTCCATTAATGTACTTAGCATTTGAAGCTAAGCCAGAATATTA